GCTCTAGCACATTAAGAGCAAACTATAAGTCTCAAAAAATGTCATCAGATTTTTCACTAACCCTTTGGCCGTAGTGAATATTTTACTCGTCATAAGTGCTATACACACGCAAAAAATTCATTACAGATACCTTGATATTTTATAAGCAATTGCGCAGCTCTGAAACTTTCGAAGACTCTTTTCACTTCTTTAACACATTATCACGGAATATTTTTTCCGTTGGGCATGGGACAAACTTGGTTTTTAGAATCTCGTCTTGCACATACAAACAATATTTCAATGGTCATTATCAAATTAAATTGTGGTCTTGAATGGTGTGAGAGTATCAAGACTTATCAGTTGAAGGTAATGTGTTCTTGACAAAGACGAAGATATCTTTTCTCGGTTCCATGCGTGATTATACCAATATATAAGGAATGCTTATACACAAACAATATTTTCGGACGTTGAACTAATGCTTATGATCATCTTGTTGTATTTGCCTTATTAGACCTATACCGATGCTTACCCGAAAATAATAATGAACCATTTCCGTCTTATTTTCCAGTTGATTGGTTTAGCTGTGTGTACCTCGAAAATTCTCTATTTATGCACCCTTTGCTTAGGGTATACACAACAATCCTAGCCTTTCCTTTCCCTCCATGGGAAATTTCGTCAATCCCATTAACCAAAGTAGAAATGTGCTGATAAAGTTTCTTATAGGACATTAAACCTGTTCGTTTCCTTAAGGAAGCGGCAGAGGAGAGCGATAAAAAATTAACAAACAGCAAAAAGAAAGTTTAATGTTGCATTGCTATATAACTATAGCCCGCGGCTGTCAGTACTCTCGTTGAAATCACTTTAATTATCGCTGTAAATTGCAGCAACTCTCGCACCTCTGTTTTGTGTCGTATGCGGCAGATTTTACTGCCTCTGAACTCCCTATTTTGACTTTTTTTTTCTTGACATGTTGCTGATGTGTTGCTGATGTGTCCTTTGTTATGTTGTTGTCGGTGGTCTTTAACGCTGCGATAAAGAAACGAATATGGTAATTGATAAGAAACTTTTAACACCGAAGAGCACACATTAGCAACGTTCTCTGTCATTTTCATCATCTTATTCACTCTGTTTTAAACCAATTAAAAAGACAATGAAAACGCATCATAAGATTATAAAAACTTTCAAAAACATCTTGAGTTGTTGATAAAGAGAAAGAAACACAATACCAACGACTGTACGTTTTAAAATGTTTCAAAGTTGGAGGGCTAACTTTTCTCTCTTTCTCTCCTTTTGACAGTAGCCTTTTCACGAAATCATTTCCCCAAATGAGTCCACCAAACATATGTTACTCTATAACGACTATGAAAAGAGAAGAATGTGAATCAAATATATGTATAGACTCACTTAACATCTTTTAATGGCCTAGGGAGACTAATGATTTTATTTGTTATTACTTTATATAAAATTTTTGTGTTGCACAAGATTTTCCCTTTAATTAATTACCATGAGAGATAAATGTAAAAAGATTAAATGTAATATTGAAAAACTATATAACGTGTGATAAGGGTGGAGTTAGCATCAAACATAAAGAGAAAAACCATAAGAAACCAAAAGTTTCGTACATCTTAATTTGCAAACCTTCTTGTTCTCTGCTAATCGGAAAACCTAAAAGCTGCATTCTTTTTTGATTGAACATTTTCCGATTCTTCATCGATCTCTTATCTGTTCTTTAGAGGAATGAATCCCATCTCAGGCTTTTAAGAGGTTTGAAGCAACTTGAAAGAATTGGTTAGTGTTAGTTAAGCTCCTTAATTCTGAAATTCGCAAGTAGAATCCAAGAATTGAAAATGTGGCTCTTTTTAGGTCACGGGTTTTACATACCTTGACATGATGTGGCATGATCTTGATATCATAAGGAACGTGAAGTCAAGCTTCAGGTCGGTAGAACAGAAAGTTCTCAGGCTTGCTGGTGTAAACGCATGCGTATTGGTGGATGTGATGAGAAAATGATGATTCTTGACCAGTGTCTGTGACAAATGTAGCTCCGAACGATCTGTTGAACATTTGTTTCATTGTGTCCCGTGCTTTCTGTCTCGCCTTGTTCAGCTCATCCAAGAGATTCGCGTGCCTCGCTTCTTTGACAGTTTGGTGCGTTGCATGAAATCTACCGAGCAATTCTTGGATAATATGGAATTTTGCTTGAATTTAACCAGAAGGAATATTCTTATAATTAGACTAATACGACCATCTCTGCGTCAAGTAGAGTATTTATATTCCACACTGTCTCTAACAACTTATAAAGCTTGGTCACGGTACATGATGCATAAATTCTATAAGCAGATTGCCATTTAACATGAACCATCAAAAGTAAAAGAGGAAGTTGTGGATGTACCTGCTCAAACCGGTAGCTATCTTCATTTTATATCTTGATCTCTCGTTGAATAAAAAACCGTCACTTAGAGAACTTAGTGTAAAATTTTGGGTTTTAAATGATGTACAAATTCTTTTGAGGATACTATGAGCTAAAAGGCTATATATCACGTATAATAAACTAATCTCGAGCTCGTGAATTATGGAAGCAGTTCACCAACCGGCCATTGAAGGTCCTATTAATTAGTCACTAAATAAGTGATCTCCGAAATAAATCACCTATGAACAAAATATGTAGTAGTTTTCTTTAAATGCATTCCTAAACATGAAATAACAAATTGTATATATCAGCTTGTTAAAGGGTACCTTAGGGCCATGCCACTTTGTGATTTGAAGGAAGGATTTCAGACAGCCATGGTAGTAAACTTTCTTTGGGTGAAATGCATCCACTTTTGTAANAGCCAAAGTATCCCTCTCGGANTCNTAGCAGCNNNAAGGATTGATAGCAGTAAATAAGTNNCCGATTAAGCGTTTNTGAATATAGNATANGNGTTTTTGAATATATACTAAAGTAAACGAAACGGAAAGGGTGCTCAGATGTGTAAAACTCTGGCTTATTTGTTTTAGCAATCACAACATGGAAAAGGTCGCGCCATGAGTCTTTGAGGCCAAAAGACTCCTAATGAAAAGCAAGAATAAACAAATAGAGATCATGATCGACTTCAAGAAAGACTAAAAAACAAAGTCAAAACCCAAACTCGCTCTAAGAACATTGTTGACAAACTAATTAATGGCAAACTAATTAAAATCAGAGAATGATGGATATGTAGTTCATAGTGAGACTCGAAAGGAAAAACTGAATGATGCGAATCACCTCCATCAGATAGCTCATTCCACCATCAACAAAATGGTATGGAGAGTTAGTCAGCAAAAAAAACTACTTCCCTTTATCTTTAAGGGATCTCAAGAAGTGTAGCAACTGACCATGAGAAGAAACTTTATGTTCAGAAAATATCAAATCAAAAGTAAATTTATTCTTAACTAAATTAAAAAGCAAGTTTGAGGACTTGTACTTGCATTTTAAAGTAAATATCTGTTAGGATCAGCAACAATTCCTCTATGGACTAAGAGGCTTCTATGGACATATTGAATAGAGCGGTTCACATCATTGTAGATGGTAGAGGCATCATTGTACCATGTCTGCAATAAAACATGCC